GTAGCGCAGCGTAGCGGGCGTTTTTTTGCGCCCTGCGCGCGTAGCGTTAGCACAGATGGGGGCAATCGCGCTAACGCTACGCTAAACGCTAGCGCAAGTTTTTTCCCCATGCGCGTAGCGTTACCGCAGAAAATGAGAAAAGCGCTAACGCTACGCTAAATTGTAGCGGTTTTTCGCTACACTACGCTACGCTAACGCTACGGTTAGCGTAGCTGGCCCACCGTTGGAAGGAGATAGGAGGAAATAACTGTTTCATGGATCAGGGGGATTGCTACTAGTGTGAGACACAAGGGGTAAGAAGAATGGAACATGTTTTGATGGGAGTAAGTTTCAAGGGTGATGAGTTTCTGGCTGGGAAATATTATTATCCATGTGTTCTGTGCTTGAGGGATTCATGAGTGGTATCTTGATTTGTTTGAGGGTCTGGGGAGCTTTCTGGGGTACCTTGATCCTGTGATTCCTGTGTGATTTGTATTCTTGCTGTGCTTGGATTTTCAGGATTGGCTTACCACAACGCCAAAGGCCCGCTCGACATCTTTCCGACGACCTTCTTGCATCTTGACGAAATGTTTTTGCTCTAGTCCTTCCGGCTCCGATAGCGTTTTGACAAAAACGGCCCAATCCGGGTAAATCCCGTCGGCAAGGTAGTAACCTTCCTTGTAATCATGGCCGTTGATGCTATATTCACACTTCGGCGCTTGTCCGTTCAAGAGGTTTTTGAAGAGGGGCGATCGTTCCAGGACGTTTATGTCATTATGAGACCCTGGCAGCCCAAAGTAGGCATGCCAGATCCAAAGATCCTGAGAGGCGACGGCCTCAAGTATAACGGTTGGGGTCTATAAATCAACCAGTCACAGGTCAGTCAGAACAAATACATAGCATACTATTTCTTTGATAAAACTCACCTTTTCCTTTCCTTGAAATTGCCCAGCCCATGCCGAGGGGCAATTTTTCCACTCCCAATGCATGCAGTCCACAGACCCAAGCATGCCAGGGAAGCCTCTTTGAGCTCCAATCTCAAGTAATCTTTCCAGGTCTTCGGTGGTTGGCTCGCGGAGATATTCAGGACCATAGATGCTGACAATTGCATCACAAAACCGATCCATACATTGAAGCGAGGTGGTTTCTGAAAGTTGCAGATACTCGTCATTACAATCGCCAGCGCCCCCATAAGCAAGCATGTGCAGTGCCGCCGTGACCTTAACCAGGGGATGGAGACCCATTCTCCCTAAGGCATCTGGTTTCTGAGTGAAGTAATCGTCAAAGCTTCGAACGGAGTCAGTTATCTTGAAGAATAATTCTTTCGACATTCGAAATCGGCGTCTGAATAATCTAGAGTCGTAGAGAGGTGTATCGGAGAAATAGTGTTGGTAGAGCTGTTGATAGGCAGCTTCAAAGTTTCGAGGTATGTTCGGCTTCTTTCCTGGCTTTGATCCACCGTGCTTGCCAAAGAGGTCATCGTAACGGGTGTCGTCGTCCAACATCAGTGTTGCAGATTCAAGGAGCATTGTTCTTCTGATATTTGCGCTGGAGGCTAGCTGCTGCCGTCAGATTACCATTTGGGTGAATTCTTCTTGTGTCAAGACATCCACAGGCGTATCGTTGTCTTCGGAGTGGTCCATGGCGGTAGTGTGTAGTGTTCTTCGGGGGGCGGGGGAGAGAGTTTCACAGTGAAGCGCTGCCATATTTGGCAGCGTGCGGTGTCAGACTTCCAAGGTGTGGAATGCTAAAAATGCGCCGCAGTCGCCGAACTCCGAGATTTGGCAGCGCGGATAGCATTTTGCGGTGGAGATGGTCCTAAGGATTTGAAGTTGGTTTGTCTGACTCAATCAGAGCTAGTTTGCAGCTATGGTACACCACAGGTTGCAAGCGAAGTTGGGCCCGCATCAAGCATTGCGTCGGCCCCACTCGCCCGACCCCGCCCAAAGAATTGGCTTGGCTGAGAGCGGGGGGTGTCGGCTCCCGCCGTCAGCCCAACCTGTGATGTGGTCTTCTCGTCGGACTATGTTGTGGGCATGCCTGTGACGGCAGGATCCCGCCGGATCATGACGAGGGCAGGCATTGGGAAGCCCTCGTTGGCTTCACCCTACTGTGTCCTGATCGTCGGCCGGTTTCTGTTGGATGTTAGCAATGAGTGTACAGGAGCTTGATGTTGACAAGCTCCTCTCGGGATGCTACCAACAAGCAGACATGAGCATTTTGTTGATTAGCTCTTGTTGAGATAACATCAACAGGTACACAGGAGCTTGACATTGGCAAGCTCCTGTCAAGATACCAGCAACAGGCATACAGGAGCTTGACATTGGCAAGCTCCTGTCGGGATGACCCCGATCCGGACAAAAAGACTATGGCTGAATCCCAGCCGGATTCCTGATTTGGAAGAGAATGTACAGTGCATTATCACAGTTGGTATATGTACAACATGAGAGAGAGAGAGAGAGAGAGAGAGAGAGAGAGAGAGAGAGAGAGAGAGAGAGAGAGAGAGAGAGAGAGAGAGAGAGACGATAGAGAGAGAGAGAGACGATAGAGATGATACAGAGACGGAGACGATAGAGACAATAGGGAGATTTAGAGACAATAGAGACAATAGAGAGATTGAGAGACAATAGAGAGACGGTAGAGAGATGATAGAGAGGATAGAACGATAGATACTTTTTTGAGAGAAAAGGGAGATATAAAGACTAGGTTTTATTAACAGCAGCCAATGCAGCCCGAACATCGTCGAGAGTCGGCACAACACACTCCTCCTTAGGTATATGATCTATGTGCATTTTGTGGGAAAAAAGCCCATATCTCTCATAGTTTAGAAGTTACACAGATTTCAACCTGTCACGGGATATCTTCTGGATTCTTTACTCTCAGTATGGCTTATTTTGAATACTGCATGCATATTTAATATTGAATTCCTTTGTGTTGTATTGAATTCCTTTAGTGGCACATAGTGCATATTGAATTCCTTTCAACCTTTGTAGGTGCACATGCATTCCTTTGTAGTAGGACCTTGTAGGCTAGCCAAAATCCCTCAAGGCAGTGCTCTAACCAGCTAAATTCCCTCATTGGATCTTCAGGCCAGCTAAAATGCCTCAAAAAGCCTGTACGGTGGGGCTAAAATCCCTCACATTTGTCTATATTCTTTACTCTCAGTATGGCTTATTTTGAATACTGCATGCATATTTAATATTGAATTCCTTTGTGTTGTATTGAATTCCTTTAGTGGCACATAGTGCATATTGAATTCCTTTCAACCTTTGTAGGTGCACATGCATTCCTTTGTAGTAGGACCTTGTAGGCTAGCCAAAATCCCTCAAGGCAGTGCTCTAACCAGCTAAATTCCCTCATTGGATCTTCAGGCCAACTAAAATGCCTCAAAAAGCCTGTACAGTGGGGCTAAAATCCCTCACATTTGTCTATATAAGGAGGCCTCTACCTGCCAGTTGTTCCCTCCATCATCCCACCAGTGGACCAGATCATCTCAACCACCCTTACAGATTATATACAAGTGACAGCCATAACAATACATTATATTGAAATAAAATCATAACACTTTCATCATCATAACAAGTCCCAAGTGCCAATAACCTGCCTCACATACCATTACTGGTTGAAGCATAGCGCTCCCAGAGCTCTGCACCTGGGTTTTAAAGCTTTGAACAACAGCTTCATCAATATAATAATCACTCATTTATAACTTCAGACCCTTATAGACATCACTCGGAAGCTTCATCTTGAACTATCCTCTATCACGACAAATATAACTGCCAAGCTAAGCTTGGTGGTCTTGTTGTTCTGATAGCATGAAAGGGTCCAACATACCCTTCTCCATTCAGCAAAAGGGCTTCACAACCACTTTTGAGTCTTACATCGTTCATGGGAATATCATCGGCGGCAGGAAAAGGAGTAATTCCAAACAGAATGTTTTGATTGATTTCTTCCAAGTTCTCAACAGGGTTGGAAGAGTCATCTTGGGCTGTAGAGGGTGATTGAAGAGATTGGGGGTCCAGGTAGGCTTCTGGGAATGTGGTTTCTGCAGTTTCACCATCCCGGAAGATAATATTTGACATTTCCGTGTCAATCAAAAGGACAGGGGGGATGGGCAATGAATATTTGAGATGGATGGAAGATTCTTAGGAGGTGATGGTTTGAGAGGTGGGGAAGATGAGGGGAGAAAATACAAAAGTATGATGATCAAGCAGAGAGTAATGAGCTGAAATTGAAGAGAGATTGGTCAAGAGAGGGATGGTTTGTGAAGCAAAGATGAGAAGTGAAGGTTTTTACCATTCAGTGAGTTTATAGTGGTTTTTAGGTCAAGATCAGACAAAAAGAAAAAAAAGGGAATCTGGCAAAAACAATTGAAAAAAGAAGGGAAAAATTGACTTGCCTGCAATCTTGATCCATCCACCATCTCTCGCTAAACCAAGCTACAATATACAGAGAACCTATAGAAAAAATTGATTGGCTATAAGATTATATGGGCATCGACCATAAGTGTGAGTCCAAAGGCTTTTTTTCAAAAAAAAAAAAAAGAAAAGAAAAAATAGTTAGGAGCTGACTATTTGCATTGGATGGTAAAGATTTCCTTGCGAGAAAAACCAAGCAGGGGATGGCTTACCTATGTGTGCTGTGTATGGGCAAGACAACAACTAATCGGAACCGACATTGCCACAATGACCACCACCAAATCCTAGTACGAGCTGAAAAAGGCTGGGTTGAGCGCATTGCCTCTTGGAGGGCGGAAAATCAAGCTTCAGGCAAGTTCAATTACGTAGTTGATGAGGGAATCATTCAAATGGACATGGTCGTCGATCAGAACCAGGAAACTTGTGTCGAGGGATTCGAGTTGGAGCCGGATGAGAATGAACTTGTACCAGAACCGTACATCGTGCCACTTGATATCTTCGAGGAGGAAGAATCCAAAATCAATGAAAGCAATGAGGATCCTCTCTGGATGTCTTTCAATCAAGATTCTGTTGGTCAGATCTCTTCAGAACCGGATGTGTTGTCCAGTATTGATCCTTTGCCCTTGTTCCGCATTGAAGAAGAAAAAATTGATAATGCAACGGCAGATAACTTGACGTGGTTTCCATTCTTGAATAAAGAAGTTAGCCTGATTCCATGATATCAGTATGTTGAATAGAGATAAACAAAACTGACCCATTCTAGTACTTGATTGCCTCACTGCTGGTCGGGTACTTACATAAACTGATTTCTAGGCATCTTTACCATCAATTCCAACTCGTCTTCACCCTTTGCCACATCAGACTCCCTCGATGGGAGACCGTGAGACGCATGTGAGCCAACATTCGATCCATGAACGATCACTCTATTATTCAAAAGGAATCAGTCTTTGGTCAGCCTATTTTTGGATTAGACATCAAGGAACTGATATAAGATGTGAGTAACTACTTTGTTTTGGTTCCAAATTGTTTGAGACACTTGCTGATTTTGGATTGCTTGGGGTTTTCATATATGGATCTGCGGAATCCCTTGGTAGCACCACACCTCAAATTTTTTCAGAAGAAGCACATGGATCCAACATCTACAAGCTTTCCCAATCTGCCAAATGGCTCAAGCACCTTGACTCAGATCTCCGAGTTCAAATAGTGGAAGAAAATAACAAACACTTTTATATATTTGAGCCGGTACAATTGAAGAATTGTGACATCATTATTCCTGTCTTCTTCCACACTGAAAATGAGAAGCTACACGCCAAATGCTACACCCCAAAAATAAAATCAAACACCAATCATTCCAAACTCGAAATACACATTGCCCACAAGATTTCTTTTGATGATCCATGTTTGAAAACCCTCTCTGTCGACAAACTTTCACTGATTTATGAGGAGATTAAGTTGAATGATGGTGCCAAACTATCTGAATGCTGTGGAGACTTTATGATTGGTGAGAATTTATTATGAAGACTGAAATTTGGAACTGTGTACTAATTGTTTCCTCTCTACCTTGACATGAATGCAGAAGAAGAGAGTGATTCAAAAATTCCCTTACCAAATAAATGGTGCAATAAAGATAACAAAAAAATCCTCAGAAACGTCCCAATCAACTTATACTGTGACGGCACATCTGGAAATAAATCTAAAAATGGAATAAACACATTTGTTACTACTTTACACTTTCTGGCTTGCCACCCAAAATTTCCAATCAGCAATTCAACTGTCATTTTCTTTGCACTTGCAACATTGCTGACCCTTTAGAACTAGGAGAAATGCTTGTCAAACAGTTAAAGTATATTCTTTTTTCTATTTGAATTCTTCTGGTTTGTTTTTTTCTTGGCCATTTGGCTAATTTTTACATTTATTTTATTTGAATCTAGTGACTCAGCCATAAATGGATTCGTGGCATATGATTCCACTCTAAGCCAAGAAGTTCATGTTATGACTAGCATTCTGTGTTTTCTAGCTGATTCCCCAATGCATGCGGTGTGGTAAGCCAATCTTGAATAAGAGGCCCACAAAATCAAAGCTTCAAGCACATAATCAAGCCCTGTGAATGACAAGACCCTCAAGGATTAAGACAAGCCCCTTCTGGATTATTCAACCAACCTGCAACACCATGGATGTCACAAGACCAAGCCCCCTGGACATAAACACTCTGGATTCCACATTACACTTCTTTATTACATAATCACTTCATGCAGCTTTACATCATCAATCCCCATTCAGCCTTTCACACTTGGCCTCTGCATGTGTTTCACTCTAATCCAAATTCACTCTAGCCTCATTTCTACCTTGGGCCACATTCTATTGTTTCACACTATTCCTCTTGGGTTATTCTCATGTCTCACACTAGTACACATCTGGCTAGTTCATTTATCTCTTTGGTATGTCCTTCCTTCCTCATAGAGATGGTCGCGGATAATCCGCTATCCGCTGGCGGATACCCGCCAGTGCCAGCGGATACCCGCCAGCGGGTGCGGATGCACCCTTCCACCTGAAATACTGGCGGGTATCCGGGTATCCCAAGGGATACCCGGTGCCAAGAGGCCACACCGCCGGGAGGAATCCCTCCCGGAAAGCTGGTTTTTAAACCAGCTCGTCGGGAGGGGTTCCTCCCGACGCGCTGGTCTGTGTACCAGCTTGTTGGGAGGGGTTCCTCCCAACGCGCTGGTCTGTGTACCAGCTCGTTGGGAGGGGTTCCTCCCGACGCGCTGGTCTGTGTACCAGCTTGTCAGGAGGGGTTCCTCCCGGCGAGCGTCCACAGGCCAACTCGCTGGGAGTGGTTCCTCCCAGCGAGCTGGCTTTTAAACCAGCTTGCCGGGAGGGGTTCCTCCCGACGAGCTGGTCTGTGTACCAACTCGCCGGGAGGGGTTCCTCCCAGCGAGCTGGTTTTTAAACCAGCTCGTCGGGAGGAACCCCTCCCGGCGAGCGTCTACAGGCCAACTCTCTGGGAGCGGTTCCTCCCAGCGAGCTGGTTTGTGTGTTTCCGCTGAAATCGTGAGCGGATATCCGGATTCAATGCGCCCATCTCTACTTCCTCATTGGTTGTGGCACATTTCATCCCTGCATGTCTCTGATGTCATTTTCCCCATTTATCTTAGTGCCTACAAATTCGGCCACATGTTTCAGTTTGATAATTTTCTCTTGTTCCATTTTGTTACATGGTGTTTCCAACCACAAGCTGGCCACTCCCCAGATTTTTTTATATAAGGAGCCTTGTTTTCCCCTCTTCATTTTGTTCCTCATCAGATCCTGACCCAGCAATCCAGATAACTGATCACCCTTCATTAGCCTAGTAGTTGCCCATCAATATTTGGGATACTAGTATTATTCAGACAGAAGACCAGAAGACACAAAGACATACCCATCTCAAGAATCCTCCAAAGCCACATCTGTCCTTAAGAGTCCACACTCTTATCTTTTCTTTTTATCTTACTCAACCCAAGTTACCAGAGAGGCAGCCCATTAAAGCATCTTTCCCTCTCCAGCTCTATTCAGCCCAAAGAGTAGTTCCACAGCGGAAATTACCAACACCCACATTCCTGGAAATTCACTCAATTTTTGCCGATGTTGTACTTTAAACTCTGAAACTTTAATAGCTAGGCAAAAAATACCATATCTTGCCCAATTCACTCAAAAGAAATCAAATGGAGCAAATGTAATTTTTTCACTTATTCATCTATTTGGAAAAAGAGATTCTAATTTTTCTTTCTTAATTTATATTTTGAAACAGTGCCCCAACCCTCTCCGAACAATGGAGGAAACTAAACAAAACTCTCAAAAACTGTGGACAGAAACAAAGAAAACCTTGACTGTGGAGAAACTAAGGGTTGAATCTTCAAAGCTAGCTGTTCAAGATCAACTTAATCTAAAATTTTCTAAACAAGTATTTGACTTTCAAGCAGAAAAAATTGCATTAGTGGCAAGGGGAGAAGAATTACCAACACATATGGAGCAGGATATTCCTCAAAAATTGGTGTATATGGAAGAAAAAGAGCCCAAAAGGATGTTCAATCCATACTTGGAGTTGAAAGGTTTTTACTTCTTTGATTTTTTTCTTCTTCAAAATTCATCTCTGATTCAAGTGTTGCGGTTTTTTTGCTCTTTTTTAGGTTTTGATACTGTCAAGGATACTCCAGTTGAAGTTTTACACGTATTTCTGCTGGGACCAGTGAAGTATTTATTTGGAGATTTTATGAGTGGATTGGACAAACTTCAGAAGAAAGAACTTTTGGCCTTATGGAATTGCTTTAACACCAACTCTCTGAATATTACTACAATCAGACCCACCAGCATGGTGCAATACTGCTCAAGCTTGATCGGAAAAGATTTTAGAATTATTCTTCAAGCAGCTCCCTTTATATTTTTCCAGTTCATGACCCCATCTCAAATCAACATCTGGTCTTCTCTCTGCAGTTTGGGCTCTTTAATATTCCAAACTCACATTGAAGACATGGAGTTATATATTTCCAACTTGAGGAAGCATATTGATATCTTCTTATATCACATCATTCAAGATTCCGCTCAATGGGTCAATAAAGCCAAATTTCATATGTTACTCCATCTTCCAGAATCAATCCTCCGATATGGTCCAGCTGCCCTTTTCGCAACTGAAAAATTTGAAAGTTATAATGGTATCCTGAGAAATGCTTCGATTCATTCCAACCGTCAAAGCCCTGGCCAAGATATAGCCATCACTTTCAGCAATTATCATTCTTTTCGTCAAATTATGTCTGGTGGTTTCTTCTTTGACAAAAAACAGAAAAAATTTGTTCAATCTTCCAACCAAGTCATCACTATTTTTTCCCAAAATCCCTTGATCCAGCAAACATTAGGCTATAATCAATCATCATCCCTTCAGACTATCAATTATCCTTTTGTTAGAAAATCTACTCTCCCAGAAAAAGAAAAATCAGCAACACCTCAAGAACTGAAGAGCTCTTATCCTGGCCACAAAATTGAACAAATCTCTGAACTACAGTTGAATGAAAAGAAAGTCCTCAAGAAAAATATCTTTATTTTGGTAATTTTCCATTCTCTTTAATTTTTGGCAGGGAAGTTTCTCCTAATGAACTGAAAATTTGATTTATCTATAGTTCAATGTCCTCCAACCTCAAGGAGCTGAACATATTGGATCAATTGATTCTATCTGGAATGTCCAGAAGCCTTCTCATCAAGCAAATTACTTTGTTCACACGACTGTGTTTCAACAGATGGAGGAAAATTTATTTTATAGAATGAGAGGGATACAGAGAACTCCCATTCAGTCTTTTTCAACACACAAGTAAGATTTTCTCAATGGTCTGTTTGATCAATCATAATTGCTTATAAAAATGCAACTCTTTTCATTTTACAGAACATCCAAACCGCTTTGAATGTTCAGCACGACTGCCAACGTGGTGAATGTAAGCTCACAGAAACAGAGTTCACAACAGTGGAGCGGCAGGAGAGTACTACACACAAGAAACTCAAGTTGGAACACACAAACAATGGATGGTACATCATCAATTTAGCTTCCCTCTCATCAGTCAACAATCATTGGAGATTCTCAAAAGTTTAAATTTTGAGACCTGGACCCCTTCAGTGGGTCAATGCTTTACACGATGGATTGGAGAAATGGAGAACGTGTGCTGAGAAGAAACAAAAGCAAGCTAGAAACAAGACATCGACTTTGGCTTCCAAAAAAATAAGACTTAATCCAGATTTATTGGAATAGAAGAATTGAAAACCTGAGCAGCCTTTATGTGTATCTTGCATGTAAATGTATTTTTTTATGAGAAGTATGTGTAGTAACTTTAAAGAACCAGGCCTTGAGAAGAATTTAGTGTCGAGGACGTTTAGAAGAGGAGCCTTGTGCGGGCTTGTTGTTGCCACGGCGATGATTATCCACCTCCACCTCCATCTCGATGCTGCCGTTCCCCATGTGCATGTTGAGGATGTGTCGGCTGCGTCTGAGCTTTTCGATTGGCCTTGAAGGAGAGGATTCACCTGTCATACATCCAGAACAGAAAAAATGTTAGTGTATGTTAAGGGTGGCAAGGCAATGTCCCAGAGCTGAGAGATTCATACCAGGGATTTGCGGGTTCTTGCAGCCTCGGCACCATTAATTTGGGTGGGACTCGGAGGCGAAGGTTCTGCCACCATGATCTCCACTGGGTGTGGTCTGTCGGCCACTGGTTCGGCTTCTGGGATGGGCGGGACCACCCCCTCCGGAGAGGAAGACTCCTTCTTGATCACCAAAATTGCCTCCGGTGTGGTGGCTTTGTTTTCGATTGGTTGCATTTTTATGTGATTGATCGGTTGGTTGTGTCACCCCTCGCTATTCTCCAATGCCAGCGCTGAAGGGCAGGTGCTCACTGGCTTGCCCATCACATTGGTCTGGGGTTGGGCCAACCAGTTGATCACAGCAGATCACACTGTGTGAAGCCACCTCTCTCCTGACGTTGGTCTGGGGTTGGGCCAACCAGCTGATGCACGGCGGATCACAATAGATTACGATCATGTCGAGCCACCT